CCTAAACAAGTCAAACCATCTCTCAATGTGAATGCTTTGTTCATTTGATGTCTAGGTCAAAACACCATTCTCATATGTCTATGATCAATGTTGTTCTAAGATCATTCAATCAAGGTTTTGCCAAGATCACAAGCATGAAGGATAAGACATCAAACCAATAGAAACAACTAAAAGAGTACCATAGATTGAAAACCCAACATCCATACACAAAAGGGGGACCCCTCCCCCACAACTAGGGTTCTACTCCATACTCAAAGGAAGAAAACAAGAAGAAACAAAGGAGAACATGATAGAGAAGAGAAAGGAATGCTTAGATTGGTCTTCAATGGTGATGATCACTTCTCTTCTTCTCCAAGTCTCCCAAGCTCCAAGTTTTTTCCAAAGTGGTTTCTCCCCTTTCAAAGTGGCCAAAAGCTCCCCTTTCCTTTCCCTCTTTCCTCTTTTGTTTAGCAAACCCTAGGGCTTTCTTCTTTCTCACTAATGGGCTTGGAAATGACCCAAAACAACAAATTAATTTCGTCAGACAGAAATGGGCGATCTCTCTGTGTTTCAGGGCGGGAGCCCGAATATGCTTCACATTTTCGGGCGGTCGGCAGAACTTATGGGCGGCCCTCCTGAATTTTCTGTTACATCTCAGGCTTCTATCACTTTAGGGCGGCCAGATCTCTTTCTAGGGCGGTAGCCTGTTTTTGCTCTTGCTCCACATTCCGCGTTTTCGTCCGATTTTTTCGTTGTTTTCTCCCGGAGACTTCACTGCACCACCTGATCCTGAAATGGACAAAACAAGGACCTACTCTACCCCTAGACGACTCATATGCACATGATTCCGATGATAAAGATCCCAATCACTCATAAAATTCTCAAGTAAAGATGGTGTGATCAAATCCCCCCAGACTTGAACGTTTGTTCGTCCTCGAACGAAACACATGATCGTAAAAATGTCTAAGGCCTGAGAGGTTATGATCAAACTTGAATGGGATCTAAGGTTGGCTTGTCTATCCGGGAAAAAGTCACCGTGAATGGAATCGAGCTCAGCATACTCTAGCCTTCTAGCATTCAAACAAACGGCTACTAATGGAACTTCTATCACCCCCCGTGGTCTAAGGTAGATTATACGCATCTTGTCGAGCATGTCTCTCAAACACATCCTATGCAATCTCTATGTATGATCTAGCCCACATTTTTGAGATTCTACCTCGCCCTATCCTTCTTTCTTTATTCATTTTGTTTCTTCTTTTCTTTTCTTTTTCTCTTCTCTTTTTTTTTTTTGGAAACATCCCGGGCTTCTAGGACGTTGAAGTTGACGAATGACATACCTTTTTGGTATTCGCCCCACAACTTAGACCCGAGCCATCGGTTTCTAATGCACTCATGTCCTCGAATGATTTTCATTAACGAGCTAATGACAGCGGAGTGTCGGGATGCTATTTTATTTATTCGGGCTTTCTTCTATGCTATGGGCTTACTAAACTTAGAGATAGAAGAATGGTTCTTGGGGAGACGTTTGCGCTTGGTTCGTAGCTTCTAATCCGCCTAGACCTTAGGAGGTAAATAATCCCACATAACAATCGCTCGTTCTAGGACTAGATTGACTATTTCTGCTTCACACGACAATCCATTCAGCTACTAAGGGGATCCCAAGTCCGGTTTCTCAAGCCCTTCAAAACAGCCTCGCTCTACTCCCCCCACATCATCATTTGACCAACCTCTTATGCAAATGCATGTATGCATGTCTATACCTATATGAACTTATGCAATATGCAACCTAATTAGAGACCTATCGTGAGACTCAATATACAAATGCATGTAACTCTATTCGGATCTATGATGAAGATGCACACACATTTTTTTTTTTAAAATGCAAATATGTAATGCTCACAAGGCTCAAAACTTTGTTAGTGTGTCTCCCCCCCAGACTTGATTCAGACACCGTCCTCGGTGTCGAGTCGATGTCAACGGATGAAGAAAAGATGAAAAGCGGAAGGGTTTTAGATGTTGAACCTGATTGGAGTGTAGAACCCATCCATAGAAAGCTTCTCATCCTTTGAGCGTCTTGCAAGAGCCCTATGAAATGCAAAAAGAAAAATACAAATGCAATGCTAGGGGTGTAATGTTAGCGCAAATGAGAATCGGAAAATGATGAGATATATGAGTTGGTGAAGCTCAGAAATAATGGGAGGGCCGCCCTAAAATGAGGGTAGGGCGCCCGTTTTTGTCTGAGAAACAGTACTCGACAATGGAGGCGCAAATCCCCAAAAAATTTCGAGATTCGGGTTCTAGGGGGTGATATAGGCTCGAAAATTGCATCTCTAAGCTAACCCAAACAGTCTAGAGTTCGAAAAATCCGCCAAGGGAGAACTACGAGATGAGAAATAGAGAGATTGAAGAGGAGGAGAGTGTTACCTTGCGGCCATTAAAGGAATGAAGAGGAGAGAATGAGAGAGATGGCTGCAAACGGTGAGGATTTGGTTGCCGGGGACTAGGCGTTTTTCGTGTTAGTCTAAGTTTTTGCTAGGTCATCATTGCTTGGGTTTCTACTTGGGATCTCTTAGTGTTACGATCTTTTCTCACCTTTGGCTAGTTTTCCTTTCACTCTTCTTTGCGTGTAGATCTCTCGGTGTATGACAAGAAGCACAACCGACAAGGATCAACTTTTATTTGATTCAGAAATTGAGAGGACTGTACGTTTTACTCGGAAGCAACAAAGACAGTGGAAAATGGCCGAAGATTTGTTGAGAGAGAACAACGCTCGAAGGGAACAACCAGCCCAAGCAGCCCCTAGAACGCTTCGAACGTACACACAACCGAAGCACACCCAACTACTCTCTTGCATTAATAAGGAGCCGTTGGAGGACTTTGAAATGCGCACGCGCCGGGTTCTAAATTTGTAACCCGATTCGTACCACTATCCGCAAGTATACGGTAGTTGTAGTACCGGAGTCGATCACGAGGACTAGGTTGTGTTAATTCATTCTTAAACTAGATCAAAGGTGATGGAAAATATTGATTGCAAGGTGTTTGTGAAAATGTAAATATGAAAAGAGGGTCAAATGAGCAAACGAAACTTGTGTGATGAAAACGATTGGACACGAATGTTGTAAGTTCGGGGTCCCTTTGACGGGTATGGATGTTCAAAATGTGAAAGCACTCATGATCATCATTTCTAATTGGGGATTTCAAGGCTCTTTGTATAAGATCTTTCTCTCTCAAGCTTAGATCTACTACCTAAAAAATCAACTACTCATCTCTCAATGATCTAGAAGACTCCTAGGTGCATTAACAACCCCTATCATAAACCCTAAACAAGTCAAACCATCTCTCAATGTGAATGCTTTGTTCATTTGATGTCTAGGTCAAAACACCATTCCCATATGTCTATGATCAATGTTGTTCTAAGATCATTCAATCAAGGTTTTGCCAAGATCAAAAGCATGAAGGATAAGACATCAAACCAATAGAAACAACTAAAAGAGTACCATAGATTGAAAACCCAACATCCATACACAAAAGGGGGACCCCTCCCCCACAACTAGGGTTCTACTCCATACTCAAAGGAAGAAAACAAGAAGAAACAAAGGAGAACATGATAGAGAAGAGAAATGAATGCTTAGATTGGTCTTCAATGGTGATGATCACTTCTCTTCTTCTCCAAGTCTCCCAAGCTCCAAGTTTTCCCCAAAGTGGTTTCTCCCCTTTCAAAGTGGCCAAAAGCTCCCCTTTCCTTTCCCTCTTTCCTCTTTTGTTTAGCAAACCCTAGGGCTTTCTTCTTT